GTGATGTGTAGCTACGATTGTGAGACAGCTATAAGCCTGCTGTCGTGAAAACAAATATTTTTCGAAATATAATTATTAATTATTAGTATGAGTTTCTAAAAATTACTAAAATTAGAACAGTCATTTCCATGGCGACATATCTTATATGTGCGGTTCTACCAGATGTAATTGCGGAACTCAAATCTTAAATAAAACGATTTTTTCTAAAACATTGAAATTGTATTTTCTATGTGCATTCCAGGAATGAAAGCAAATACCCCCCCTGCACGTAGACAGGTTTTTCATGGTAGGTAGATGTACTCTGGCTGACCAACTACATAACAGTTCAGCTAAGGAATGGTCAAGGCTTAGCGTGCGTATATCCGGTTCTGGATGCACGTTCTAGGTTGTTAAGTACGAAAGAAGGGGTATACGCACAACCAAGCATTGACCATTGCTTTTATAACATAACAAAACCGTAAAAAATATTTGTTCAAAAAACAATTCCAATTTTGTTCAAGCGAAATCTTCATTACATAGCGCGCGCTACTCAGGCACCTGAGCGTGCACCATCCATTTCTGGATGCACGCTCGCGCAGCTAATTAACCAATCAGAGCGCGCGTTATGYCGTGGTGTGTTATAATAGTAGTTATACATTGTAGAGTGTACGCGCGAACAGGTAAAAAGCAGCATCACAGTTATTAATTTATTTTTTCTTAACTCATGTACTTAACAATTGCGCATGCCGATCTCTTTTATTTGCTTTTACGTGCGCGCACCTCTGCTCAACAGTGATTCATTCTGGCTGGAGTGGTGTAATGTAGTTGGTTAGAAACAAATTCAGTTAAAATAAACTCAGTACTTGTGGTCAGTACATCGTAGATGTTAGATGTGGATATGCGCGCACACTGATAATTAGCAAATTTAATCAGTATTGGTGCGCTCTCGGATGAAAAAGGAATATGCACTCAGTTGCAACGGCTGTTAAAATACAAACCAATGATTGAGTTATATTGTCGAGCACATCTATTTAACAAAAGATTGATAAGCGCAGCTTAGGAGTGACTGACAGTCCTATGTATATTAACGGGATATCTTTGCGGTTTGGTGCTTTTTTCAGTCAAATYTCAATAATCCATTCTGACTGACCCACCCACCGCACGAGGTACCAGTTAGCATTCAGACTGCTGTGGCATTTTGCATTTTGCAAATTGTATGCGTGGGCTCCCTGTGTTTCTAGTTCACGTGTGTATCCATCATGCTTCAGGGTCGTGCTGCGAAGAAGACAAGATGGCGTGCAGGAGAAGGTGCGATATGCTGACAAGAACTTCAGAATTAAACGGTAAGAAATGCTTCTACACTTTACTAAACTATACAGACATTGAGATAAGGCTTATTTCTTTCTCCTTGGAAGTTTAGTTCATGGTCTGAGTTTTTTTTTATTCCTTAAAAAGCTTTTCTTTCGAGCAGCCTGCCCTGAACGGCCCGTTTGGTTTGATGCACGTGCAAAGTTTTCTTTACCAAAAACTTCATAAACTCGATTGTTTTATGCTCAACAATGCCGCAGATACTTGGAGAAAGAAAAAAATCACTTTATCTTAAGTTCTTTTTATTTTATTTTAAGGCGTTTTGCTAAAATTTGGATGTATATTGTGATTCCAATAATTTGTCCAACACCAACTTACACTCCCTTGCCCCTCCCAAAATAAATATTCGAAGTATTTTTTCAAGAGTTGGAATTCTAGAATGGTTTACAAATGCCTTTTAAACATGGTTTTATTCCAAAGAAAAACACTTTATAGATGTTTTAAACGTTGAGGTTGTGAACAAAAGTTCCCTAGGAGGTATCCCTAAGCAGTTACCCCCTCCCCCTAGGAGGTAGTTGGTTAGTAGTTGAAACGGTAGAAAATGAAAGAAATATTTGTCAAAGTTAACCTCAAAAGAGCAAACTTTTACCTCAAAAAACGCAACACTAAACTGTGTCACTTGCAAATTGTGAGCGTGGGCTCCCTGTGTTTCTATTTCACACGTGCATCCATCATGCTTCAGGGTTGTGCTGCGAAGAAAATAAGATGGCGTGCAGGAGAAGGGGCGATATGCTGACAAGAACTTCGGAATTAAACGGTAAGAAATGTTGCTACACCTTACTACACTATACAGACATTGAGAATGGTTTTAAAATGCATTTTAAAAATGGTTTTATTYCAAAGAAAAACACTTTATGGATGTTTTAAACATTGAGATTGTGAGAAAAAGTTCCCTAGGACGTGTCCCTAAGCATTTACCCCCTCCCCCTAGGAGGGAGTTGGTTAGTTTGTGAAACTGCACTTCTACTGTTATTTTGGAGCTCTTTTTCATAATATTTGGGTGTGCCTTAAATAGATTATATGCCCCCCCCTCCCCCCTTATACCTACACTCTTTTCTAGTAACATGTTATTTCCAGGATAGATGCATATTGGTTTTGAAATTGGGATCTATGGGGCAAACATTGCAAGAAGAGACCATTTTGTATAAGATTGACTTCTCCTAATGATAATTTTAATTTTTATGCCAAATATTGTTTTAAACTACCCCCCCCCCCCCCCCCCCAAAAAAAAGCATATAGTTTTGGAACTGTTGCATTTGTACCTGACTTGGCAAATTGGGTAAGGTCAATTAGCAACTGGTATCCAAAATGTTAACATATTACTGGAAAATATTAAAATTATATCAACAATGCAGTTGAAATCTGCTGATTTGAAGTTGTTTGCCTGCTCGGCAACCAAATGAGTAATCAGACTATATTACAATGCAAAAAACCATCATCGCATCTATCTGGAATAGAACATATTATTTTATCTAAATTCAAGGATACAGGGACTGATACACACATTTTGGGACTTCCTAAAACTAAGCGTAGAGACTGCTCAACATACAGGACCATCATACTGACACTTTTATTCTTGTTTCTAGTCTTCTAACAAATCATCAAGGCCAAAAGGAAAAGCATATCATAAAGTAGTTTATCATAAATTAATTTAGAAAATGTTTAGTAAATTTATACAAACGAATTAACGTAATTTGAATAGATTCTGTTCTAACTTACTGGTAATTTATTTGTGTAATTATACTAAACATTTATTCACCTCAGGCTTGACAAATTTTGTTCTGTATTTTCCTTGGTTTGTCCTTGGTAAATATTGACCAAGATTTACTTTGTCTTTGGTTAATACCTTTAGTTTTAAAATACTATCTACATACAGTAATCATCGTATTGCTGTATGTAGATATTTTTCACCACTTTAAGAACTAGGCCACAAAGGTTGTGTAATCTTTTTATTTCAAATAAAAAGTGAGTGCACCCTTTGTTGTGTTTTGATATWATTTACTTAATGCTGATGAATTATGYACAAACACTGGAGCAGACAACTGGCTGACTTGGAATCATCTCAACTTACTAACAATTTGATATCTTTCTTTTTGAATTTTGCTTTTGATTGCTATTGATTGGTTTACATGATATCCATTTATTTGATTGACTCTGATATTAATGTTGAATGTATCTGATTGCCATTTATTTTTTCAATTGCCATTGATTTTTTGTTACATATATTCATGTTCTTATGAAAAACGTTTTTTCCTTAATTTTTTGGATTTATTTTTTTTACATATCATTGGCAATATTTAAAGAAGTTTTGAATATACACAAATTTTCTTTTTATTTTATCGTGAACAATTCAAAATTACAAAACGAGGTTTGATTACAAGATTAGGAAAAAAAGCTTTTTCATATACAAATTGCTTTGACATTCCATTTTGGTATTGATGCTTTTGTGTGTTACAGTATTCTTTCACTGTTATGTTATGTGTGTTACTGCCTGTGGCACTCTGTGCACAAATAATATAGGACTTTGATAAATCAATTGAATTTTTCCTAAAAGGATATTTTGATTTATATTTTGTCTAACCCAGTAAGATACATCAGATTGCCATATAGCTAGATAGTGAGAGGATGCTGTGCACATTTATTTTGTTTCTTTTTTGTGTGTGTATCTGATGATACTGTAGAACTTCACTCTCTCATCCTCTAAGCTTTATTCTTAGCTATTTTGGCTCCATTAAAAAATACAAGTTTTGTACGACGATACCACATCCAATTTTTTTTAATTCTATAAATTTCCTTGAGACATTGAGGTTCTACATTATACATTTATTTGTATCATAATAAAAGGATGGTGCTCGATCTGCAGTTTTCCTGGAACAGGGTAAGTCAAGTGCATTGTTCATCAGCATTTAGTCTTGTTATTTCCACTAACATCCTCTTTCTATTATTTAACACTTGACATGGCTTGTTTTGTCAGTGTTTAATCTGGTTATTCTTTGGATCACTAGAGGATGTTTGTTGGATGTTGCAATTTTCAAATTATTTTGCTAAGTAGTGTTCAAGGTTGATCAATTTTGTGTTGTGAAGCAACATATTGGTTAACAAAATTCAGATTATATATCAGCTATAAATACTAAAAATCACACTGCAACAGWCAAGTCAGTTCACATAATCAATCGCAAACCCAGCAATTCTAAAATTTTGGTAAACATAATATTATTTTCTTGACATTCTTGATGAAATATGAAAACAATAATTTGATAATACTGATGAAGCCTTCATCATCACTTCATACATATCTGTTGCATTTGATTTTAGTAATTGTACKTTGTTCTTAAAGTGGTGAGAATTYGAACTTAACGACTATGATTGAACACACCAACATTCAGAGAGAGACACTGTATACAAAATTCTACTTTAATGTTTCACGGCTTGTGCAACACTAATCCTGATATGTACTGTCAAAATTTCTCCTAACAAAAATAAAATCTTAATATTTGGCAGTTTATTTGGTTTCTCTTGACTTGATTAACCAAATATTCATCAGATAATATTTATCTATCATTTATCAAAAAATTCTAATTTATCAAACAAATCTTGTAATTTGGAATTGGAGATCCATATGGCTTGGTGTGTTCATGTCATAGTCTGACAAAGGTGTTGCTTGATTAAAAGTACACAAGAGATGATAAATGGTCTTCTAAAAGTTTATAGTCCAAATTGATTTCTGTCCTGTATTTTTTTACACTGACTTTTACTGTTGGCTTTTTGATGTATGCATTCAATTCTCAATTGGCTTCTTTAATTACTTGCTTTGGGTTGACTGTTGACTTCTAAATTAGTATTATAAGATACATCTGATAGTATCTTTAAGAATTTTGCATTCAGACATGATAAATTAAATGTAAGATTACGGATAAAACACGTAGAATTTTTAAGAAAGACTGCTTCAATTTGATTTATTATAATCAACAATTTTTTTTGATTTCACTAAAATGTGATATATGTTTGATTGGATCAATAGACCATTTATTACTCTTGCTGTAAAGTCTTTGTATGATTATGTAACTATGGCACTGGTATGATTATTGGGTAGATTGGATAAAATAATATCCAAWTTGATGCAGAAACTGTATGATCAATACATGTCCTATGCCATGGTTTATCAATATCATACAAGAATTATCCTACTATTAGTTCCAGTAATGATCATGCAGATGAGACGTAGAGCTTTCTAAATTAGCTGTAAAACTCGTGAACAGACACATGATCTCCATCATAATTTCTGAAATCAATTGAATTTATTTCATATTTGTAAAAAATTCTCATTGTTGATCCTTACTGATGCTGTACACTGAGGCATAAAACTGGTGTTGTACCTGAAACTCGGTTAATAAAAACGATTTACAGTTATTATAAATTTATAAGTTGTACTACTAGACTTCAAACACGTGTACTTTCAAATAATTTCCCAGAAGTACAACAGAGCCAGTTTTTATGCTTTAATATCAGCATTCTGTACTAGTCTTTTAATCAAGCAACACCTATGTCTTTAGAATMCAAACAAAGTGGACTGTCTGCAAGGCCTTTCGTTCAACTTACTCATCAACCTTAAGGGGTACCCCTGAACTCTTTGTTTTGGGGTACTTCTTCTTAAGGGTAGGGTAGGTTTGAACTTTTGGTCTTGGGGACCTGCGACTAATTACCCTAGGGGCAAAAAAAATTACAAAAAGACTTAGTATATATTTTTTCAAAATTTATAGGGATTTTTTACTTTTTTTTCACAATTTTTAATTTTTTTTCTTATTTTTTTTAGAGCCAATTTGAATTTTTTTTTATTTTTTAAAGCCAATTTGATTTTTTTTATTAAAGTCAATTTCTGAGTTCTTTTTGTAATCTGTGAGGCAATTCTCCTTATTTTGCATATGTCTGCTTGACTTTCCTTTATCTTGAGTCTTGAGGGTGCTGTCCAATTTTTCTTGCATGAACCTACCTGGATTTGAACCACTTACCTTATGTCCTGCTTGCACTCTTCTTAACCAGTATACCATCAGCTAGTTTGTTGAATGTGTAGGTTTTGAAGTACCTTAAATCATAGTGCTTTGTATTGACGTGAATATGAATGACCTAATAAAGATTCTAATGAATATTTAATGTCTATTGTTTATTGCTCGTGACTGGATAATGAGGGGAGCAAAAGGAGGGGATTATGTGGGTGTGGTAAAGGTGATAAAGTAGGCATGAGGAAAGTGTGGTTGCTATGAGATACAATGGGTGTGTGTGAACGGTAGGGTCTGAAATTTTTTCTAAGTTTTTTGGCGGGAAAAAAGCGGGAACGTAAGAAGTCGATCATAATAAGGCGGTAAAAAGTATAAGTTTTTTGGCGGGGAAAAAAGTGATTTTGAAAAGAGGTCATATAGCAAAATATAATTTATTATAAGAGGTCAATAGATTACAGATAATTGATCATAAAAAATAATAAGCGTACGTAGTTAACTAAGAAAACTTTAATCTTCAGCCTTGTTTATCAGTACTTGGATGTCGTTGGCTTATGCAGCGCTGGTTTAGCCTACACCTATGTAATATGATAGAAAAAAGAATGATGTTAATAAAAGGTACCATCCTAAAGGGTTAGTGATCTTACTTGGCCCAAGAAAAAAATAGTGTAATACATCCGGTAAACGGACTTATTTCCGTTTTTAAACTGTTAGCAATTGCGAGTACAACTATTTTAACTGGTCAAATAAAATCACTGTATCATATAAAGGATTTAAAGTTTGAAACTAAAGTAAAAAAATAAATAAAATGATTTTGCGAGGCGCAAAATTGGGTGGGGGGGATGCGCTAACCTCACCTAATGTAATTCGACACTAATTAAAACAAATATTATATGTATAAAGATACAAAGATTTATTTAAGAAACAATTTTATCATATAAAGGAAATAAAATAATAATCGTAACACAGGCCGAGTAAAGCCTTCCCCCTCCCCCCCCCCCC